AGCAAAATGTATTTCAATTTCAGAAATATAAATAAAAGTAATAAACAAGAGCTGTTCAATAAGGCCAACAACATGTAGATGGCGGTATTGTGAAGCTTAACTGCTACTCAAGCAATCAGAAAGAAAAGTAACCAAACGATTAATGGGCTAGGCCAACAAGGCGCACCTGTAGGCACGGACGCACTCTGCCTCGCCGAAAGCGAGAGATAAGGACCTCCTATATGCCGCTTGGTGGAGCAGCTAGTCACTCCTTGTGCCCGACTGCGTCGACCCATTAGCACCGCAGTGCAAAGAATAGGAGGAGTAGGTACTTCATCAATACGACGAGTTACTGCAACAAACCACATGTGGTGAACCGACAATGTGGCACATGTTTCATAATCCGAACAATTTTTTAAAACTGAGATTTTTTTTGTTTTTTAACTTGCAAACAATTTAGAGATTTTGTAGGTTTTTCTGAAAATACTTTAAATTTTTGAATTTCCCAATACTTTATGCAAATCATGAACAAAATTTAAATTAGATCATTTTTATAAACTCTGAATAATTTTAAACTTTTTGAACATTCGAAAGTTGTATACAATTTTTGAATATCCTATTTTGAAAAATATGAATAATTTTTGAAAATATGAGCAACTTATACAAGATATTCAACATTTTCGAAATTTGTGAGTTTTTGAAAAAGGACAAGAAATAGTAAACCATATCTTTTGAAAAACAAAGAAGAAAGCCGAAAAAAACAATGAAAAAAAAATTGAAAAATGAAAACATGTTGAAGAACCTTATAGAAGGTGAACAAAACCGACAAGAACCCGGGCTAGAACCTTCGAGAACATTCTTAAAAAACAGAAGAACCATCCAATCTCCAAAGCATTAAGTTGGACGGCCCAAAGCAACCACTAGCGTGCTCATTTGTGTGAAGTGGCAACAACTTGTCACGGTAAGCGCGAAATAACTAGTCAAGGGGGTGCCCCTTATAAAGGTCACACCCACTTCCTCTGATGGTGACACGTGGCACACTGCTTGTGCAACACTTCTCGCGATCCAGGAGTATTGTATTTATTCGCAAATTCTTCTTTTGCAAAACGTTTTATCTCTTGAATCGTCCATCCAAATAACGAATTATTTTTACTGTTGCATTTCTCGCATCGAGATATTCAAAACCAGATCTCATGTTAATAGATTTGGATGGACTTTCTTTAAAAAAACATGAAATTGATCCCCCCCCCACACACACACAAACAAATGAAAACTAAAATAAAAAAAAGGAAGCACAATTGTGCTTCAACTTTTTAGGAAAGCACAATTATGGCTTACATGGAAGCACAATTGTGTTTTTCATTCTTAGGGGGAAGTAAAATTGTGCTTCACCCGAAGCACAACTGTGCTTCACCTTTCGAGAAAACACAATGATACATTCATTTTGCATCATGCTTTTATATCAATATTTATTGCATTATGGATTGTTATTACACATTATGTCATAATACTTATGCATATTCTTTATTATTTTACAAGGTTTACATAAAGAGGAAGAATGCCGACAACTGGGATTCTGGGCTGGAAAAGGAGCAAATATTAGAGACCTATTCCGCACAACTTCAAAAGTCCTGAAACTTCACGGAAGCTATTTTCAAAATATATAAAAAATACTGAGCGCAAGAAGTTCCAGAGGGGGCCCACACCCTAGCCACGAGGGTGGGGGCGCGCCCTACCCCCTGGGCGCGCCCCCTGCTTCGTGGGCCCCCTGGTGGCCCTCCGATGCCCATCTTCTGCTATATAGAGTCTTTCGTTGGAAAAAAATCATAAGCAAGCTTTCGGGACGAGACTCCGCCGCCATGAGGCGGAACCTTGGCGGAACCAATCTAGGGCTCCGGCGGAGCTGTTCTGCTGGGGAAACTTCCCTCCGAAAGGGGAAAATCATCACCATCGTCATCACCAACGCTCCTCTCATCGGGAGGGGACCAATCTCCATCAACATCTTCACCAGCACCATCTCCTCTCAAACTCTAGTTCATCTCTTGTATCCAATTCTTGTCTCTAAGTCTGGGATTGGTACCTGTGGGTTGCTAGTAGTGTTGATTACTCCTTGTAGTTGATACTAGCCGGTTTATTTGGTGGAAGATCATATGGTCAGATCCTATATGCATATTAATACCCCTCTGATTATGAACATGAATATGCTTTATGAGTCGTTACGTTTGTTCTTGAGGACATGGGAGAAGTCATGCTATTAGTAGTCATGTGAATTTGGTATTTGTTCGATATTTTGATGAGATGTATGTTGTCTCTCCTCTAGTGATGTTATGTGAACGTCGACTACATGACACTTCACCATTATTTGGGTCTAGAGGAAGGCATTGGAAAGTAATAAGTAGATGATGGGTTGTTAGAGTGACAGAAGCTTAAACCCTAGTTTATGCGTTGCTTCGTAAGGGGCTGATTTGGATCCATATGTTTCATGCTATGGTTAGGTTTACCTTAATACTTCTGTTGTATTTGCGGATGCTTGCAATGGGGGTTAATGATAAGTGGGATGCTTGTTCAAGTAAGGACAACACCCAAGCATCGATCCACCCACATATCATATTATCAAAATACCGAACGCGAATCATATGAACGTGATGAAAACTAGCTTGACGATAATTTCCATGTGTCCTCGGGAGCGTTTTCTTCTATATAAGAGTTTGTCTAGGCTTGTCCTTTGCTACAAAAAGGATTGGGCCACCTTGCTGCACTTTATTTAATTTTGTTACTTGTTGCTCATTACAAATTATCTTATCATAAAACTATCTGCTACCACTTATTTCAGTACTTGCGGAGAATACCTTGCTGAAAACCGCTTATCATTTCCTTCTGTTCCTCGTTGGGTTCGACACTCTTACTTATCAAAAGGACTATAATAGATCCCTTATACTTATGGGTCATCACAGAACTATGCTATTCAATTTTGTTGGGAAACACATAAGCATAGTTTGTGCTTGACACAAAAAGAACAATTATACTTCACACGAAAACACAACGGGTTTTCACCATGAGCACAATTGTGCCTTTTATGCTTCACGTGAAAAGCACAGCCAAGAAACAAAGAAACCAAAGAATAAATAAAAAGAAAAAAACATAGAACATAGAAAAAAACCTGGTAAAATTGGAAAACCCAAAATCTGAATAGAAATAAAAATGCCCAAAATGTCGAAAGCACATGCTGAGTGCCTCCAGTGTGCGACATGGGTGAAGCGCCCGTGCGTGCGCATTCACTGGGAAGCTGAGGGTGGTACCCATGAACTAGTTGCTCCCAATAAGTGACGAATAGGGATCGCTCCTAATTGGCTCCTTAGGCGCCAGTTTTTGTTATTTTTTTTTTGTTTTTGAGAAATCTCAGGCGCCAGCTAATAAGACTTACAATCACGCACGAGAGTATATGGATCCGGCCCAGCTGTGCTTGTTTTAAACCTGTTAACTGATGACCTATGACCGTTGATTGTTGGCTGGCCAACCAGTGACCTAGATCATTGACCACTGAGAGTTGACTGTTGACTTTTCAAAAAAGGAAAAGGTTCACAAATAATGAAAAAAACTCAAAATGTGAAAAAGGTTCATGAAATTTGAAAAATAGTTCACAAATTTGAAAAAAGGTCTTTTGTGAAAAAAGGTCACAAATTTGATAAAAAGGGGAAAATATAAATAAATAAATAAAAATACAACTACAAATATAAATAAAAATGGAAACAAAAATGAGGGAAGCCGACAAAACCCGTGCAAGAAAAACCCAGAAGAAATACGCCCCAACAGTTCCCTTAAAAGTGTCTTAGAGCAACACCAACAGCTCCCCTATATCTAAACTAACCACTGTTTACGAAAAGTTGGGGGCAGAAAACCTCTCCAACAGTTTCCTTAAAAGTGTCCATAACTTTAGAGATTCTGTAAAAGTGGCATTCTTCCCGCAAGTTTACGGAAAGATAATCTTTTCGTATCCTTTTGGCGGGCTAATAACTGCCCGAAACTTCATCGCTTGCTCCGTTGGAACCTCGCCGGAACGCCGCAATACACCTGTACCGCCACGCCGGAACGCCCACGCTGCCTGCTACCAAACCGCCTTGCGGCCGTATCGCCGCCCGCCGCTCACGCCGACACCCCACACACCGTTTCGCCCTACCCCTCGCCGGCAGGCACCGCATCACCCGCTGTCACATGTGCCACTAATGGGCGGGTCTTGGGCAATTATATTTTTTAATTAATAAATAAAAATAAATTTAGGGGAAAAACAAAAGTTGCTCCCCAACTTCCTCTAACCTTTTTTAGGGTGTCATCAAGTTTTATTGATCATACTTCACGCGCGATGGAATACAAATAGGATCGTAGGGTTGGATCAACCAGATGTGTCATCCCTGATCAAGAGAATGAGAAAATTTGGCTAATCTATCGGCATCACCATTCAATGGTCTATCTTCAAAAATAAAATTACAATTAAAATTTAAAGCTCCATGCTTGATCTCACTACTGATATTCCCATACGCTCCTTGTGTTCCAGCATGGATGTCCTTCACTACTTGCTTCGAAAGACAACTTCCTCTACCCCCGCAAAAAAGAAAAGAAAAAAGAAAGACAACTTCCTCTAACTTTTTTTGTTGTTGAGAATCCAACTTTTTTTGAGTTGAACAACTTCCTCTAACTCTCTTTGCGATGAGACCCCCTGTCCCTCAGCCCGCTAGCAGAAGTTGGGCTGGCTCATATGAAGCGTACCGAGCCCAAACTACGGCACATTGCGGGCCTATCTACATCAGGAGGCAAGAGCATCTGTAGCGAATGTGCGAAAAAAAAGATAGCATCTGCAGCGACTCTCTGCAATTGCCAAGCGGCACTTCGCTTCCTTCATCTTCCCGGCCGGTGCGGTGCGTACGGCGCAACCAGATCTCACGGCGAGGCCGAGCTAACCGCCTCCGAGGATCCGCACAAACCCCCAACCACCGTACGCACCGCAGCAGCGGCGGCGGAGGGGCATGGAGAGCTCGTCGCCTTCGGTGCCGTTCCCGCTGCTGCAGGCGCCAGTGGAGAGCACGTACCGTGCCTGCACCATACCCTACCGCTTCCCCTCCGACAACCCCCGCAAGGCCACCCCCGTCGAGATCCAGTGGATCGACCTCTTCCTGAAGTCCGTGCCATCCTTCAGGTACAGTCCCGGCCCGGAATTTGAACTCCGTAGCGCTCCACTGATTCTCACTTCAGTTCGTCTTCTGACCCTTTTCCAGGCAGCGGGCGGAGAATGACCCCACGGTGCCGGATGCCCCCGCCAAGGCCGAGAAGTTTGCTCAGAGGTACGTATGTATCAGTGACCAGTGTCTGATTGATCGATCATGTTGCTTCGTTATGACTCAAGTGGTGGTGGTGGTAAAGACAAGTTAGTGTCAGATTCATCAGATATTAGCAACTATTGGCAAGAGGTCGATTTCTTTGCAGATGTAGTATGGGCTATCAAATATCTGCTCCTGAAAAAAGGCCATGATTAATTTGGAATGGACACATACTACACAATAGCTAAATTCCTTTGGTACTTGCAGACAGTAATTGGTGTGTCAGGCAATTTTGGTTTGGCACCTGCTCGAGCAGGTGCAAAACCAATTACTGATGGCACGGTTAAAAGTTTCTGCCAGTTCTGTTGTCAGCCACCACAAGATTCACCTGATGTACTTGACAGCGGCAGACTTCATTTTCAATTGCTGAACCAAAAAAATAAAATAAAAATTGAAACAACTCACTTGAACTAGGCAGGCGGAGCTTTGCGAGGGCTGATCATTGGGAGGAAGTATCAAATGAAAAAAAACTAACTTCTGTTGTGTTCATGAACTGTTAACTGTTCGCAAGACAAGTGTCCTAATCCTGATAGAGATATTTCAATCCCAATTGTTAGCTTGCACCAAAAAAACTTCTGTTATTGTGAATATTAAGAATTTTGGTGTGGCGTTTTGAACAGTAACAAGCAAACACGCAGCACCTTAGTCTAAAAGTTAACTCTCTCACTAAATTTCTTGGGCGTTACAGCTTCAAAGCTCGGAAGGGCCGCCTTCGCTGATATTATGATATGGGTGCCATGTGGAAGTAGCTGGCCAAGTTAGTTTATGTTTGTAATATTTATTAGATCAATTATCTTTGAGGTGAAAGCCATAAAGTTGAACAGCTGGATATTACCACTTGGTGATTCGTATGCCTAACAGTTCTGCTTGTGCACATAAACGAATGCCATTTCACCTCAGAGTATTTTGGGATATTCTATTTTACGAAGAAAGGGTCAAAGAGCCTATATCTTTGACAGTCACTTGATTGGGATGTTTTGGTCAAAAGAGTACGGATGTGAGAAGGATAAGCCGCTAAGGCTAAGTTGATATCAAGCAGGTGTAAGCACTCAGCTTTGGTTCATCAACTGGCAGTCTAACTAGTGATAAATTTGACAGACTAGGTTTGCACTTAGTATTCCTTGATTTATGCCCACAAGCAACTTATTAGCAGTTCTAGCATTAACCTGTCGCAGTTTATCCACGCAGAATGATCTCAGTAACTAGCAATGTGAGGTAATGCTGAGACCTAGTTAATTCTAAGAATTACTATACCAAATATTTGAAATGAAGCGTGAGATCATGTATGTCTTTAACTGTACCATGCTCTTTCATCCTTTCGATGTATTGTACATTGTTCTTAAGGTGGTAAGGTGACCTAAGGTGAGCACCCACTGTCCTGACGCCTATGCAGCTAAGGCAGGCACAATTGCAAGGCGCTGCCAGGGCACCTTGCCACCTAAGTGTCCAAGACGGGATGCCTTAACAACAATTGTATCGTGTATGCTACTAAGCACCAAAAACTGTACGATTCCGGAAATGATTCGTGGGATTCACTTTCATGGTTCGGATGATGATATCTCTTGTTTGTTATTGGGTGTCATGGGCAGATATTTGCCAGATAATGTTTGGCTGCGAAATTAGATCTGCAAATCACTCCAAACCATGTTGTTATTTTTATATGTTAAGGTGCTTTAGTCTTAGGTTCAATGCTTTCATTGCGACATATTACATGTATGTGTGGCTTAATTTACACCAGTCAACATTTGCATTGCTTTGTTAAAAAAAGTGCATTACACGTTCATGATTGCTTCTCTGGGGTTAAGCGCTGACATGATGTGCATCAACGGTTACTCAAATATTATCACAATGTTACTCTGTTCATATTATGAAGCCTTCTAGATGCATTCTTACATTTTGTTATGTACGTATTGTTGTGTGGTGAAGGTACACTGATATGCTTGAGGAGTTGAAGAAGAACCCAGAGAGCCATGGAGGACCTCCTGATTGCATAGTAAGATGAGTTTTTCATTGGATCATGAAAGAAAATTTTCAACTACTTCTAACTCTTGCAATGGATCTCAAGCTTCTTTGTAGGCTTCGTGAGCTAATCCTTAGAGAATTGGGGTTTCATGACATCTTCAAGAAGGTTAAGGTAAATTGTAACAAGGTTTTCCTACCTGGCATAATTTTGTTATTCATTGTTGTGATAATTTCTGGTCGTAACTGTTTCTGCTCCTTTGATTATTTTGATTCTTTACGAGTAGGACGAGGAGAACGCTAAGGCTATGTCACTGTTTGAGGGAGTTGTTCAGCGGAATGATGAAATAGAAGATGGTGAGAAACGAGCAGAGAACTTGATCCGTGGAATCTTAGCAGGAAACATATTTGACTTAGGGTCTGCACAGGTATGTAGTCCCAATTGCATTAATGTTTTATTGGTCTTTTACTCCCATGGAGCTTCGAAGGGCTTACCTTAGGTTGCTTTGAAACATCACCGCCTTAATATGAAAGACCATTCAACCTGAAGTCCTGAAAGTGATGAAATCAAATTCCGTTAGTTCTTTGTGAATCCTTCTGAGATCTCTCTTTGTTATTGACAAAATATTCTTTTTATTGCAAAACTTGAAGCTTGCAGAAGTTTTTGCTAAAGATGGTATGTCCTTCTTGGCGAGTTGCCAGAATCTTTTATCTCGACCTTGGGTTATTGATGACCTAGATGCATTTAAAAGCAAATGGACAAAGAAATCTTGGGAAAAGGTAAATTTTATTGTTTTACTGTATTCTTGTTGAAACTGTACAAAATGCCAGACAGAGCCTGCTGTCCATCCTATGGCAAGAGACTGTTTTAGTTTGCATATGTGGCAATGTACTGTTTTATATGTCATTTTAGTGTATATCTGCAGTTCTATGGTTTTATATTTTGGAAGAAAAAAAGTGCTAATATCATTAGTATTCTGGTTCCATGTCTATCTCCAATAATTATGGTTCTTATTTGTTAATAACCCATTTATAAATTGTTTTGATATGTACTATGTACATTATTAGAAATCAATAACTCGCTCAGTGATATTTAGTGTATTCCTTTCTGTATCTCCTGGTAGCTTTGTTGGTGGATTTGACTTATGTATCTGTGGTTGTTACTGTTGGCCTAGTAACAGTTCTGGACCATCCATGCATCAATTACGGGTGAAATCATTACTGGGCAGTTGCATATAAACTATGTTTACTCAGTGGCATTTTCTTTCAGCTGTGTATATGTTTACAATGTTGATTCTGTACAACCAACCTTAAGTTTGTACCTAGCTGAATCAATCTTCTATCATATGCTGTAGGCAGTTATTTTTGTTGATAATTCTGGTGCTGATATCATATTGGGCATATTACCATTTGCGAGGGAGTTGCTCCGACGTGGCACTAAGGTTTGTCTTAATCTTTTCATATTGCTCTTATTCATTCGGAACTACTGGAAAGCATGGACAAGGGTTTGCTTGTCATTTCTACATGAGTTTGTTTTCGGTAGTAACGTATCGCTCCTATTCAGCTTTTAAGTAACTGAATGCAAGAAATTATCTATGAAAAATGGTTCACATTGAAGTCTATGTCTATCCATGACTTCTCAATTAAGCTGAAAGTGTGTTCGTGCTTATGTGCGTGCTTGTGTTGTTGTACATGTCCAACTTGGAATCACTGTGATCGATGCATAAATTGTCTTGTGATTTATGATTTCTTTTCTTTCTTTTTTAGTAAAGAGTAAAGAATATCAATAGTTATCTTTCTTTGGTTGGTGCAGGTGATACTTGCTGCCAATGACATGCCTTCCATCAATGATATCACTTACCTAGAGTTGGTTGAGATTGTAAACAAGGTAACTAAAAAAAATCATATATCATTTATGATACAACAATGTGACTCATGTTCTTCAATTGTTTTCAGCTCAAGGACGAAAATGGAAAGCTTGCTGGTGTGGATGTATCTGACCTCATTGTTGCCAACTCCGGGAACGATCTGCCAGTAAGAATATCTTGAACCTGACTCTGCCATCCACTATGGTGGCTTCGTAAATTCTATTGATTGTCTCAGATGCTTAAATAGACAACCCACCTCGTCTCAGGTAATAGATTTGTCTAGCGTCGCACCGGAACTAGCCTATATGGCAAGCGATGCTGACTTGGTCATCCTAGAAGGCATGGTAAGGGCATTCACAAGTTGGCACATCTTTTTGTTTGAAGGCCATCACTAATTGCACCCTACCTGTGTCATTTACAGGGAAGAGGAATCGAAACCAACCTATACGCACAAATGAAATGTGACTCGATCAAGATTGGAATGGTGTGTTGTTTTATGTCCATTATGATTATGTGATTTATTTATATCAAAGATTATCCAGATTAGCTGCAGACTGTATGATTTAACACAAACTGGTTACTGAAGTTCACAAACTACTGTTTTATTGCTCTGTTCCAGGTCAAGCATCCTGAAGTGGCGCAGTTTTTGGGTGGAAGGCTTTACGATTGCGTCTTCAAGTTCAACGAGGCCTGAAACACTCTGAAGCCCCTGCATGGCACCAACCACATTGCATTCATTTTAAACATTGATTACTGATGCAATCCTACACTGAACGTATGCATCCATGATGATAGCAAGTGGAAGAAATTACAATTCGCTTGTTGTAGTGTGAGGGAGAACAATTTTTTATGGCAGATGTGTCAAAACACCCCTTTCTATGCTTCAGGTTAATAATATAAGTGTAAATTGAGGTGCATTTTGGAATTCCCTATTTGCCGCATATTGCGGCAAATTGCTGGTGCTTTGCAGAGGGCGAGCGGCGATGGGCTGGCTTGTGTAGATAGTTTAGGTACTACACCATCTGGTTTTGATTCTTTTATCGGTTTTTCGGTTTCTTTTGGTTTTTTGTTCCTAAACATTATGAAAACAATGAATCTACGAAAAAGATACAAACCAATCTGTGCCTACCGTGCATGGGTACTGTGTTATTGAAGCAATCTACGAAAAAGATACAAACCAAACCAATCTCATGTCTCATTGGGTAATACTCCCTCCGTTCGTCTAGATACATCCATTTCTGTGACAACTAACTCCGAACGGAGGGAGTAATAGTTTGATCTATTTAAATACCACATGTGTATTGAAGCAAGAATTACAACAACAACATTTGCTTGACAAGTCAAAGAGGGTACCCAACTCGCCGCCGAATTCATATGGCGCCACGTCAACTTGTGGCTGATCGGCAAATGATTGCACATATTTTGCGTTTCGGCTTGCTGTTGCCCGAATGCTGTGCTGACGATGATTTCCTGGTAGCTGGAGATTTACAATTGGAGAATTCGATCATGAAATGGTTGGGCGTCTATTCTCTGCTTTCTTCAGCCGCTGCCTTGGCCTCCGTGCTTGTACACCTACGGCTGAGCATGAGCACACACGCGCAAAGGACTCTTGATGCGGCATCCATGGATCTTGATATTAAAAAGAAATCGTAAGTATGGTTTTGGTTGAGTTTGATGGGGAGATTATAGTTTATGTCAATTCAATGGACTAGATATGCAGGTCAGAAAATTGTTTTGCCTGCCAAACTACTGTGTCATGTATTCATGTTACACCTCTTGTCATTCATTTTCTTTATGTCAACCCCTATATCATTCCTAAATCCTAGTGGTGTAGTCATATGTAGATATGTTGATGATATCATATTGTTTTTAAAAGATGATAAATATGTTAGGAATTTCAAGTCGACACGTTTGAAACAATGGTCCGGTTGAAGATCGATTAAAAAAAAGTGAGGTGCAGTGCTTTTGATCCAAGATGACTATGATTTCCACAGTTTTTTACTTGTCAAATGACATCCTTCACTAGATCGTTCTTGGGCTCTCACCCATCTTGCCCTAATGGTGAATGATTCTATCCTTCAATGGTGGACCTCTTGGCAACTGTCCATCCCGCCAAAGCTTCGCAAGGGCGTCAACTAGGTGGTGATTTCCTCGCTACAATGCACTTGGCTTGAGAGGAGCCGGCGTGTCTTCAAGCACACCTCTTTGCTCCCTACTGCGGTAGTTGATGGAGTGCGTGATCATTGCCGTGAGTGGCGGACGGTAGAAAACAATAATTTAAGAAGAATAGTACCATAAGTCCCTTGTTGTACACCGCTTGGGCTGCCACCCTTGTTGGCGCCATGGAGCTACTCTTGTAAATCATAGATACTTTTTATCATGATATATAGGCACATAGATCTCTCTGTGTTTAAGAAAAATCAATAATCAAAGCCCACTTACAATTTAAAACATATCTTCTATTTTATACATAATAAGAAACAACACAAGGTTGGCTTGCTCGCCTGACTTCTCAACCTTACAGACCTTGCTCCTATAACGCGACCATAAGGACCATTTTTTTATTTAACCATATCACATAACAACACAGATGCTTAATTAAAACACAAACACATATCTAGTGTTGTTTTCATAGTTCCAACCATTGTGACCTCTTGCAAATATCCATATCAAGGATAGCCACCGCCACCATATCCTCCACCGTAACCTCCACCGCCACCGCCACCGTATCCTCCAGCTCCACCATATCCGCCGCCACCACCATATCCCCCACCAAAGCCGCTGCCAAATCCACCATTTCCACCGCCATTGCCATACCCGCCACCATATCCAGGTCCATAGCCTCCACCGCCGTAACCATGCCCAGAATTGCCGTATCCTCCACCATACCCACCATCATTGTTTCCATAACCTCCATAGCCATAACCTCCACCACTATTTCCATATCCCCCACCGTTACCGTACCCGCCACCGCCATACCCTCCACCGTCTCCGTATCCTCCATCATGCTTGTTTCCGCCTCCCCATTTCTCTTCCTTAGGCAGGCCCGACCCTCTTGCAGGTTTCACATTCTTCTCCTTGGACTCTGCATGAACAAAATTCCTTAGTGAACATTGCTTGAGGTAGACAAGGGACGTGGATTTTTAGAGCACTTGCACCTAGGCCCTGCTATCCTAGCTCTCCAATATCGCTTTAAGATCCGTGCGGCACAACTAACTTTCTATATGAAAATTTCTCTTTTTTGTTTCTCCCACATAGAACATATCTTGAAGTCCAAACCTATGCAGCATGCCAAAGCTTTCAACTAGAATCTAGGATAAATCTTTCAGAATTTTTGTCCTCCATAAATACTAAAAATATGATTTTTTAATCAAACAATACGTATTTTATATATTTATATTTGACAAAAAAATCTGAAAGATTTATCCTAGATTCTACTTAGAAAGCTTTGCCACACTGCATAGGTTTGAACTTCAAGATATGTTCTATGTGGAAGAAACAAAAAAAAGAAATATATTTTCACGAATCTTAAAGCAGGAAATGGATGGCTAGATAGAGAGGGCATGGGTGCATATGCTTTAATATATATTTTCGGGTAGACAAGTAGTGAACATTGCTTGAGGTAGACAGGGTAGCCGTGCATATATAGGATGAAGTATGAGTTGTGTAGTCTACTGTGTTAGTAAATACATATAAGTTACAAACCTTTAGCATCTGTAAGCTCTCTAGCATCCGCTACATCCTCGGAGAGAAGCAGGAGCGAGGCTAGTACGACACCAAGAAGAACTAGAGACTTGACCGCCATTGGCGATGATCAGTTCGATCGAGTTATAATAGCTAGCTTAGGATGAGATGATATCGCTGCTAGAATTGCCGTACTTATAGAAGAGGCAAGACATGTATGCATGCACGCCTATGCCTATCTCCATTTTTAAAAGTTTCAACCTTCGATAACTCCATGCACCGGTATGGTTGGCTGTTAGCTAGGATATGATCAAACCGGGACCGAGCTTTGGTATATCTCGTTGTCACATTTGATTAGCTACCCCCAGAGTGTAGAACCACTTGCTAACAAGAACGCTGTGGCGCATCAAGCCATCCATTGGTAGACCAAAACTGAATAACGCCGTTCGATCCACCAATCGCCCAAAGGTCGGCCGGCAACTGTCGTCCTTACCGCAATTTCGTCTAACAAAGTAGAGATTGTCCACTTTTGTGCACCCGTGTATTAATTATTATTATCGTATTCATTGATCGATTATATCCTGTCTATTAATTTGACCCGTGTATGTTAGCACGGATTCATCGATCGATTACACCCCAGACCTGCCCAAAAACCGAGTCCGCGCCCGCTCCCTCTCCCGCACGAACTGGTTGCTGCATATTCATGCCGGTCAGCACAGCTATAGAGTGCTAGCTTCACATTAATGTCGGCTCGGAGCGGACACGATCTCTCATTGAAGCCAGCATTTTAGCGGCATGCGGGCCAAGAGGGACGCCCAGTCTCCGTGCATGTTCTGATGCAGAGATGCGTGACCAGAAATGACTGGAGCGATGTGGGAGATCCTTTCGACGGAGCATTCGAACCGGGCCCCACCCATCCGCCCACCGACATTAAACAGGCGCGGCGTCCGAGAAACCAACTCTGGCGCCCGCATTGATATAGCCCGCTGCTTTGCCTGGCCGATACCCAAATGCCGCGTCCTCGCCCGGCACCACCCACACCACAACACGTCCGCTATGATCGTGAGCTCTAGAGCGATGTGGGAGAGCCTCTCGGCAAAGCAGAAGTAGGAGTTGGCCGGCATTGCGATCGACTGGCATGCCCATCGTGTAAGCCATGACTGAGGCTGGCTTGCTGGTGAGCGCGTCGGAGGTCAGCGACGAGACGACGGAGGAGGCATCCAACGACGAGCCGGCGCCACCGCCTGTGCAGACGCACTTTAACACCGTCATGGTGGAAAAGCAGTCGGCTCCGCATGTGTCGGCATTCCGACATGCGCAGGAGGATCAACGCTACAACCTCTCGCTCCTTGATGAGCACCGGCTCACAGAGGGGCAAATCGTTGGCGAACAGGAAAACGACGATGTCGTCGTGGCCATGGTCACGAATTCATGCTTCCTTGATGAGCAGTGGACGCTGTACCAGTCCATGCGCAACTCTTGTGATGTCTGTTGCAATCGATGGTGTCTGCATGTCCTGCGAGCAAAGAGAGATACCCTCTTCTCGGATATCGGTGTCGAGGCAGACGAAGAGGAGGCATAGACAACCAGGATGTAGCCAGCTCCCTGTTGGACGTGCCACCCATGTGGTTTGCTTCCCGTCGCAACGACCATGAACTTGGTCCGTCCACAACCGGCGTCGAAGACACGACGAACACCGCCGAGGAAGAGTAGAACATGGGACGTTTGAATGCTTGGTGTCGCATGTGGGTTGTGCCCTCACGTCTTATTCTTCCCCTCTCACAACTTCACTTCCAAGGGCTCACGGTCGGTGAGCTTGCTGAACATGGGGAAGACATGACATGTGACACGGTCGCCGCCATGGCCGGCAAACATTTAGACTACGTTAAAAAAGTGTCACCCACTTTTGTTTAGTGAAATATGTTGAAAATGTAATGAATTCGATTATGTTTAAATGAAAATTGTACAATTTGCATGAAATTTGCCCGATTTGTTCCAATTTCTTTTGAAATGTGTCCGGACGTTTGATGTTCAGGGTTTGGATAGCCGGCTCTTGTTATCCATGGATGCGTCGACAAACAAATAGCGTGTCTATTTTAAGAGTCGCGTTGGAGATGTCCTTACATAGAAATATCAAAATATCTGCTTACACGTACACACTAAAGTGGCACCCGTAGCTTTAACGTGAAAATGCTTATACTCTTTGCTTTTGGTACTCTAATGAACTAATTTAGTTAGCTAATTAATTCATATTTTTCATAACTACACATTTTAACCTTTTCATTAGTTCAATGAAACCGATCTCAATAATTTTTAAGAATAGACGACTATGCTCTCTTTAGGGTCGACTCCTCGGATGAGGACAAAGAGGACTATATGGCCCATGTGCAACTCGCGGCCGAGCATGCCAGTGAGGACTACGTGGCATCACTTGTTCAGGTGGACCCATAGCTCTCTGATGAGAACCATGCTCTCCTCGAGTCCATCAAGGACGAATGGGAGGTCGAGGCCAATCGCTAGGAGATGGCACAATGTCGTGTCGAGAAACATAAGATTTCGCCGAGTTCGACAAGTTCATCGACGAGCCAAAGGTCGTTGCCATGGATTCGGTCCACCGCCAATGATCACGAGGTGAGCCCCTCTAGCTAGCCCGGGGGGAGGGGGGCGCTACCCGTCCCCTCCGACTCTGACTACTCGTTGCCTGGCTTCTCCGTCTTCGATTTGGAGTAGAGCTCCATTATGAGAGTAGTCTAGCTAGATAGTTTGATATCGATGTAGTGTTGATGTAGTAGGTAATGGAGTGTATTAGTGACTGTACTATTTAATTAAGATTTGTATGATGTTAATGTGGTACCATGCTCTACTTATGCAATGAAGTATTTATCAGTGCTTGTGCATATGGTATGTGCTTGCGTATGTGATATGCGCCACAACAACTCCTTTTTCATGTTTCTTCTTATTTGAATTGTTTAATACAAAGACTTTAGGGATGGGATTGTTAACCTAATTTTTTCCTAAAATTTTGGATGTGAACTTAGAAGCATATGCACTCATGATTTACCTTGCATATTTGGTTTTTGAAACTAGCAAGACCAACATTGAATTCAAATTCATTTTTGAGTTTATTTGGAGGTCATGAAAATTTCACCAAAAAGTTGATTTTCAAAAAACTTGTATAAGGGCAGGAAAGAAATATCCTAAGATTAATATTTTCCCTATTTATTTTGTGTTAACAAAGGTTTGAAAATAGTTTAATTTGGGAAATTAAACTATGAATAAAACTTTGGATAAGATAAACAAAACAGAAAACGGAAAAAGAAAGGAAATAACTTTGCAAATAGGCCCACTAGTTATGACAAAAATAGTTTGTCAAAATCCTTTGAGAAAAAGTTCAAGCTGCTAGGAATATTCCCAAAGGATTTTAGGAAGAATTTTATTTTTGAAGAAAATTCAGTTTTACATTCTGATGTGAAGACAGAGATGAAAACAAAAAATAGAAATAGAAAAAGAAAATAAACAAAATGGGCGAGGCCAGCCAGCCAAGTGGGCCAGGCGCGACCCAGCTAGCCAGCCGGCCTAGCCTCCCACCCCCCTCTCTCTCACTGACGAGTAGGCCCTGCGCGTCAGCATCACCCACAACCTCCTGCAACCGCCGCCCGTGGCCACACCATGAATGTGCACGCGCCCACGACCTCCACTCCACAATTTGGTGGAATATTAATGGGTTAATTAAAATTAATAAGTCAATTGTCATGACGCAGGAGAAATAGATTTGAAACTGAAAGTGAAACTTAGGTCAAATAAATTCAGATAGTGCAAGTCAAACCTCAAATTCAAATCAAATTGCATTAACAAGTGAGGGATTTAATTTAGTTAGGGTTCTTAAATATTGAACTAGGTTTGCCAAGTTGAACCTGTTAGGAATTTGAACCAAGCCAACTAACCCTAGATGAATGTTGTGATGAAGTCAAATACCAACCAGACTAGAAACACAATGGGAAGACCAAAATGAATGAAATCATACCAAACAAACTAACAACTTGTGCTATGTGA